CTGAAGTTTAAAGAGGAACCAGGGAAACGGGACACCTTCCGAGTGTTTGTACATTACCCAAAGGAAATAAATCCAGCTATTCATTGGATGTACTGCAGGCAAAAGCTGCTGGTGCCTTAAGTAAGAACAAAAGCGAGAGCTGGGATCAGAGTGTCAGTAGTCCATATAGCCAGGTACATGGGCAGGGCAAAATCCTGCTGGTCTAAATGCCTCTTTGGTAAGAGGCAGGCAGTGGAGGCAGTGGACTAAACCACATTGTCCCTCGAAATCCCTAGATATCCAGGGTGTGGAGAAAACCTTAGAAACATGTGTCCCGAGACTCAGAGAACAGACAGCAAAGCAAAAGATCTCAGCAGTTCTTGTTTTTTTAAAATCTTGTGCTATTTAAGCCACTGTCTTGATCTTGGCAGTGCTTATTTTGGCACTGCAGTTTGTGAACATTCAACACAGACTGTAGGTTTTGCAGCCAACAGTGCAGCAGAATAAGCAGCAGTATAGCAAACACATATAAGAAAACATAAATGTAATTTCAAAGGCTTTATATTGGGTTGTGCATAGTGAAGGATGTTCCAGACGACCTCCCATTTCCTCAAGACACCCATCACACCTCTACTGCTCTGAAAACGTAAGCCATACCACTCCTCAGGGACTATGGTGTTGGTGTGAACAGAGCCAAAATGCAAGTTCTCAACACACATGAAGCAAAGTACTTGGGTTCCTCATGAGACAGACGGAAAGGATCTCCCCAGCTTCAGTATCTGCTGCTCACTTCTGGATTTCACTGCCTTACAACCCAGCAGTTCATCCCTGTCTTTCATGCTGGGCACAGGTACTGACTGCAGAGGCAAAGCCATGTCTCTCATCTTGAGGAATAATGAAAATACTCATAATTCCAGATGAATTAAATTTCAGCTGCATTCAAAGGAATAAAAGCAATCATGCAGGTACAAGCACACCAGTGAAAACATTACTGCTTTAGGGAACTCTAAAACAGAAAAGACACATGGCGATTTTGGGGGTAGAAAAACACAGCAGGGAGTGCTGATAACTGCCTGAGTGATCAGTGCAGAGACTGCAAGGCTGGGAGAGCCCTCTCCAGGTTGCACAAAAGTGTGATACACCTGCAGCTTGGTGGGGAAAATAGCAGCATGGAGCTTCCCGAGAAGGTGGCACATCAATGTCCACGTCATTCCCTCCATAGAAGTGACCGCTTCACCTGTTTAGTGCATTAGCTGTCTGCAGGAGGCATAGCTAACATCTATGCTCCCTCCTCTTTCCCAGCAGAAATCTCAACACAACAAATGGTAAATGTTCCCATGATACATGCATGCACCTAGCTATGGTTCACTTGGGCAGGAGAAAGGGAGAGTTAAGGAATACTAATTTATAAAGACAGGTAACTCAAGTAAAACAAGATAAGCAGATCCTGACACTTCAAACCTAAGGGGGGGGGAAAAAAGGGTTGATTTGGCTTCAGGTTTTAGCATTTTTTGGATCACATCCAGGCTGCTAAACACAGGTTCACTCTAGAGGTCCTTGGTCAGGGAAGGTTCCAGTCATGATTATACCTGAGCTGCAGCAGTAAAAATTTAAGAGACGCAATGCCTCATGCCAGCACATCCAAATGCCACCTTAGCCACACTCCTGAGCACTTTTCCAGTGACAGAGAGAGATGAGTGACATAACTCCCAGTTAGAGAAACCATGGGATCCAGAAACTGTGCCTGGTGGAAATATTGCTGTGCTTCATTGATGGGAAGACAACAGCACACCTGCAGCCAGAGGCAGACAACCTGAAGCAGACATAAAGTCCAAACTAAATTATCTTGAGACTTAGAAGCCACATGTGAGTGTCATGTATGAGAAATATGTCACGTGAGCACTGAATGTGTCTGAGCTATATTAACTCATTGACAATACAGACAAAATCCCATTCCCCCTGCTAGCATGTCTTTGTCTTGCTGCATGATCTACTCAGCCCTTCTCTTAATTTCTTTCTGCATAGATCAGCTTCTGAAAGCATCTTCTTAACCATATGTACAGCCAAAATCAGTCCGTGTGCTGTCTGAAAAGCTGGAATTACAGATTTGGACGGCACAAGAGCTTTCATACATCTGACACACCCAGAGGCTGGTACAGAACTATACAGTTAAGACCATTACAGCACTGTCCTAAATAACTGAGAAGATACATTCCTTAGAGCTAAGTGAAGTGGAAAATTTCCTTGGAGACCCTTCTGCTTTCTCTGTTTATGTTAGACAGTCTAGACAAAGAAGGAAAATGAGAGTTAGTGCTGCTGTCAAAAAGGCTCTTGCTCCCAGCATAGCCTTTTCAATGTTCCTCCCAAATTTCTCCCACTGGCCACAGGTGGTGCTTGAATATTGTTTGTCTAAGTAACACAGGTGGGTTTCTACAGGAGGACTGCTTTCTGCAGTCACTATCCATCCTTCCAGACATGGGATCTGGCAGCAAGCAACAAATCTCTCTCAGCAATACACAAATGGGATCTGCCCTCTAAGCTGGCTACTGCACAGCACCCTTCTCTTATGCTTCTTTGGCCCAAGGGACAGCCCACAGCAAGCCTGGGCACAAGCCTCACACTGACTTTCCACTGTGATAAACAGAACAGAGTCAGTAACAGCACCAGCTCAGTGCCAGATCCTTACTGAAAGAAAAATCTTTCCTTTCTCTCCGCAGACAAAAACTGAAGGGCTTTTTCACTTCACTGGAGCCCCTCTGCTGAGCCAAGGCAGCCTCCCCGTCTCCCAGACATGGCACTTGGACAAAGGCTCCTAAGTGCAAAGTGGCTTTGCAACAGGTCACCTAGACAGAGCACATGGTGGAAAGGCAGGCAGGAAGGGGCCATTTCAAACAGAGCTAGAAGATGAGAAAGCAGGGCCAGGGGCAGCAAAGGCACTCAGCAATAGCTTTTACCTCTTGAGAAAGGACTCTGGAACCCACCAGCCCTCCTGCCTGAGACTGCACTTGTTCAGGGCACAGTTTGTGTCTGGTGGCTTATAAAGTACTCTCTAGACTGGAGAAGGAAAGTGGTGCCCACTCAATGTGGCCAGCACACCACCAAGGGCAGGGAGCATACATGCAGCCCATATTCAGTCCTGTACAGCCACTCTGGGGTTAACAGTGCAGTATTCCCACTCCAGCAGGTTTTGGTGTGCTTCAGAACTCCACAGCTGGGAAGCACGCAGGGCTCTGCATAACACTACGCCAAGACATTTGGGTTCGTTCAGAAATTGGCTTGTTTTTTACAGCACATTGGTGTGGGACTGCAAACAAGGAAAGACTATATGGATATTACATGCAAAATTTTCAGCGAAGTATCAGAAACCCCAATAATCACTTTAGACATTACACAGTCAGGGAAGCAAGAGCCTGCCCGCCCTCAACAGCTAATACTTTTTCTCAGAGACCATGACATTTCCTATGGATGTTTCCCTTGCTAGCAGAACACAAACTCCCCTACTCCCCTCCTTCCTTCTCCTCTAACTTGCCTGCAGGCAGCCCCAGAGATCCAGTTTCCCCTCCATCTACCACTGCCACAGAGAAGCGCTATTATAAATCCGCTTCCAAGACTGTGATCCTAGGCTTAACCTGGACGGGCACAAGAAGTTATGGGAAGAGAAACATCAGTTCCAGGTTAAGCAGATCTTTCCAGTTTGTTTAGCTGCACACTAAAACTCATCAGGAACCACGGGTGACACGAGGTCCTGGGCTCTGCTGTGCAGCCCAGAGCTGCGGGGCAGGGTGGGGAGCAGGGAATGGGAGATGCTACCGTCCTCGGCTGGCTCCCCTGCAACTACAGCACGGGGCTGTAGAAGGGACAGCCACCACATCCACAGCCTGAGAGCAGGTGTCCCTCTATCTCCCTGGCTACTGTGACACCAGCAGATACAGTTTAGTGCTGTAATCCCTCCGTATGTCCATCTATACCGTCTTTACCCCTGCTCTGGTGCAAACCCTGTGGGCACAAGCTGAGGAGATTCGGGGTGCAGCACTGCGTGCGGTGCAAACAGTGCCGCGGGGGCTGCAGTGAACGTACTCTGCTTTCACGAGGAAACGGACGGGGCAGATATGCCACTGCTCCCCACAACCCCACCTTCAGAGCAGCTTAAACCAGAGGCTGCGAGCCCGGGGAACCCTGACAGCAGTGGCAGCGTCGCCCAGACTACTAAAGGGTCCGATCCACAGGACTCTGTTAAAGGGTCCGATCCACAGGGCTCTGGCGGCGGGAACGAAGAAAAGAGGGATTTCTCCTGGCTTCCAGGGGAGCTGCAGCGCTGGTCTGCCCGGTGTCAGTGCCGCTAACCGCGCAAGCGGGGCTCCTCCGCAGAGCCCAAACGGGACGATGGAACCAGCACGCGGTGCCAGTGGGAAAAAGGCGTCAACGGGCTAAAGGCAAGCGGGAGGCTGCCGCCCTCCGGTGCCCTCTGCTCATGGTTGTTTGCGAGCATCCCTGCAGGCTGCAGCCCTGTGCCCAGCAGCTGCCCCGGGCGCAGCCAAGCCGTAGCGGGACAACACGCGCAGGGTCCCGGCCGGTCTCCGAGAGCCGCCAGGGTCCTGTAGCCCCTCGGTGCCGGCGCCTGCCCCGCTTTGCAACCTCCCTCCCTTCTCGGGTCTCTCTCCCCGTCTGCGGGGGGCACTGGCGGAAGGGCCCGCACAAACAGGGGGCAGCGGCAGGTGCCTCTGCCGCGAAGCAGGGTCAGGGAGCCGGCCCGGCTCGGTCGGGGTGACCCCGCGGTGCCGCCGCGGCGCCTGTCCCCGGGTCGGGTGGGGGCAGAGAGCGGCGCCGCCGGGAGTCCCAAAGCACCGGGTCTGCCGTCAGCGCAGCGCCCCGAGCAGTCCCCCGCGCCGGGCACACCTCCCCATCCCACACCGCCGGGCAGCGACACGAGTGGGACGGGCAGCTCCCGCGTACCTGTGAGGGCGGCGGGCAGCAGGGCGGCCAGGAGCAGCAGGGCGGCCCAGGGGGCGGCGGGCCCCGCCATGGGGCCGGGGGCGCGGGCGCAGGCAGCGGGAGCGGGAGCGGCGGGGCGCGGAGCTGCCGCCCGCCCGGCGAACGTCTCGGCGGGGCTGCCCCGCTGCTGTTGCGCGCCCCGCCGTCTCCTCCTCCCGGGCTGCCGGGACACTGCAGCGGGGCGGCCCCGCGGAGGCGGGCGCCGGCCCTCCGCCCCCCACGGCGCCCCGGCACGGCCGCCCCGGCCGCCGGACCTCGCAGCATCGCCCGCTTTTGGTGCGCGCACCTGGCTCCTGCAGGAAACATCTCCCGGGGGAGATGACGAGCTCCGAGTCTGCCCTTCGGCACCTAGGGGGGTTTCAGCTGGCCCACGCCTGTTACACACTCTCCGTGCTCCCTTCTGTCTTGTCCCCTTGTCGCACTGTGCCCTCCCGGCTGGGGTGGGCATTCAGCCCTGCGGCGGCACAGAAATTCACATACAGTACAGAACTTTCTACACAGGGTTGTCTTTCCTGTGGAAACTAAGCAAAAAAACCCAAATAAACAAACAAAAAACCCAACTAAATATGCATTACAGTTCTTGCCTGCTATGAAGGGAGAGGTAAGATACAAGGGTTTCTGCAAGTACCGGGAAAAATAAACATCATCTCTTCCGAGGAAAACAAACAAATCAAACAAGCAAAAACACAATTCAAAGAAAGGCAAATAACACAGGCAGGCTTTGCACGGGAACCTGGCGGGTGCTAGCTCTTCACCTGCTTCTGCCCATACACCTGCCCTGGCATGCTGCTGCACAGTCCCACAGCTGAGCACGTGAGGGACATGTGCCTCCTCCAAAATCTCAGGCTACATTTCTGCTGCTGGACATACCTGCTCCCAGGACTCTGGCCCTACACGCTCCTCTGGCCCTCATGTCCAAGCTGCTCAGAGTCCCCTGCCCACAGGAGCACATAGGTGGTGTCTCCACTGGTAATCAGTGGGCACACAGTATCCTTTGTACTCTGGGTGTTACATATGTGCTTTTTCATTGTTTGCAACATCCAAAATGAAGTGAAGACAGTGTTAACTGGTAAACTGAATGTGCGTTCATATCACAACACTGTAGGCTGCATACCCTGGTGATATTACAGTGGGGTGGTGTTGGAGGGCTCTGTGGGACACAGGAAGCCAAACCGGGCACCTGCCCATCCATACTGGGTATGGGGCAGCCCTGTGGATTTTGTTTCAAAGCAATGTGATCACTGCACCCCATAAGGAAGCCTGGGAGCAGGCTGGGACTGGAGCAGCCATGCACAAGGTAGGGACTGTAGTCCAGAACTGAAGCAGGGAGCCACACTGTGACAAGCAGAGGGAGTCCTGAGTTGTGGGGGTCTCCGGAAAACTGTCTTTCACCACTTCTGGAATATTTCTTCCTAGAACTTGACTGCTGAAGCCTGGGAGAGGCTTTTAAAAACAAAGCAGCATACCAAACAGGAGTCTCTAGATGACAGAGTTTCAGAGAGTTCGAGTTAAAGCACATTCTAGAATACCCAGCAAACACTGTAATTCTGTAATACAGAGCAACACTGGTAACTTTCTCCTCATTTTGCAGTATACCCCTCATTGCTCTGAGTGGTGTCTCTGCTGCGTAAGCATCACTGCTTTATTATGGAGTCACTTGTATCGTCTTCAGTTCTCCCCTTCCTGAGTGGCATGCTCAAGGATGTGGCTCACAGTCCAATAGCATCAGTCATACAATGAGGTACTGAGCTTATCTAGCCTTTTGCATGGAATGCCACCTGCACCCCGAGTGCTGCTTTGAAAGGCCTTTTCTGGATTATGAATCAAGAACTGACTTGAATGCTGGTTAAAAACATGCAACTCTCACGTGGGGCGTCAGCTGTTTCTGAGAGAGGGCACACTTCACTAACAAAGCATGACAGCTAGAGGAAAAACACAACTGAACAACCAAACTGAGACATCTGAATATTTGGGTCGAAAGTTTTAGCAAATAAACCTGGGAAAAGGGTCTCTGTTACAGTCAGGGATCACAGGATCATAGAAATCCAAATCCTGCCTATTATCTGCAGCAAGAACCATTCTGTGTGAGGAAGGTATTGTTGTACATGGCAGCCATTTGGGAATTGCAGTGGATGTAGTTAGTGGAACAACGTGGCTGTGCCAATACTCCCTGACAAGGAGCTTGCCCTCAGGAGCAAATGGTGCCTGGCAAGCAGGAGGCACAGCCTCAGCATGCCCCTCCAGCACCCACACATCTCCCCTCACCCCCCAGCTGGTCATGGGTAACAGAGGCAAAACAAGGGACCTCCATGGGAGCTGACGTTGCTCATCAGGCTCAAGCCCACTTGCTGCTTTTTAAGTCATAACTCTGAAAAGGGAAAACCCACTGCACTTCCCAAGTGGAGCCAAAACAGTATATAGATGAATTGGAAAGGGCAAATCTTTGAAGAGTTCACAAATCTGGAAGGATTTTTATTTTCCTCAGTTGTTTCTTCATTGCTTCCTCTGTGCAAGTGCATCCAGGGGAGAGAGAGAATTGAGTGTGCAGGGGTGCAGCCATCTGTCTGGATGAAACTAACCACCGTGATCACCTGTATGAGCTGTGCAGCCTTGGATGTTTTTCATTTAAAGGATAGAATTCCATTGAGAATGTGGATAAGTCAGGAGACAACCAAGATGTCATGCTGCAGTGAGTATGGACTTGTTCCTAAGGCAATGTGAAATCTATTTCTTTGCAGGAAAGGCATTTTCTGTAGTTAGCCCAGCTGATATTAGTGTAATGTCTAAGATTAAATTATAGCCTAAACCAAGACGAGTGATATTTGGGATTGCTGATACTTTTTCTCTTGTTTATGCTTCTTTTTCAAGTCATGTGAGGCCAGACAAATAATCGCTATATGCCAGAGAATCTCTGAGCAGAGAAGATACAACACACCAGCAGCTTGCTTTCTGGAGTTTTAGAAAACTTACTGAAGCAGGTCCTCAGCTGGCACAATCTCAAAGAGCTTCTTGCCCCAACTCCTTTCATCCTCTTTGGAGCTCTTCTAATTACACCAGCTAGTGCAACAGCTTTTTGCTGTTTGGCAAGCAAGCTTACTGACTCTTGACTTCTAGAATGTTTGTCATTAACTCAAAGGAAAGATAGCTGCAGGCTGTGAGATAGAAATGACACTCCCAACAGTTTGTAGGGGCAGATTTACAAATGGAAGAGACAAGCAGACAGAGGCACATAAAGGAAAAATTTTAGTGAGCCAAATTGCCTAGATATTTATAGGTAACTTCAAGGATTCTGGTCAGAGAGTTTTGCATCTGTTTATCATTACACCTACACAATGTGAAAGGATTATTTATATGCATAAGACTAAACATCGATTTTACTTCCAGATGAACAGGAACAGTTTTAAGGATGTTAATCATGTAATTCTTTTGAGTTGAGGTATGCACTAACTTCTGTTGAAAGCCACTAACAGAGAGAAAAGAGGCTGAAAGAGAGCCAGGAAATACCTTCCAGCCATGTAAAACTTCTATGTGCACCTGGTAGGTTGTCCTGTTGTCCTTGCAGGTTGTCCTATTTCAGTATGAGCATATGTACAGGTTGGTAGAAGCACAAATAGCTGCATCGTGTAAAAGAAATGCTCAGTTTTTTTAAAAAAGAAGACAGCATAGAAGTTATACTTGTTATGGGCAAATCACTAGTAGCCAATAATTTATTTGTTGAACTTTGCCTCTTCTTCTGGTGATCTCTTGCCTGGAAACAGTTTATTTAATGTGTTTTTTAATTATTTCCATTTATATGCTTTGGTAACCCTCCCACTGAAACAAAAAGAAATAATTTCATTGTTTTAATAACAAAACGGTTATTAATAATAATGACATGTATTCTTGAAGACATTTGGGGTATTTACCAAATTCAGATTCCAAAAACAACTGCCAGAAGAAAGTGAAAAGTTGTTTCAGTTAAATGAAATTGCCAGATGAATGTCAATGGAATTTGAATTCTTGTGTGCCCGTCTGGTAGACTCATTTAAACAAAAGCTCAGGAAGAGGAGATTATGTCATTGAAGAAAGCCTGCACACAAACAAGGAGCAACTAAATTTTTTTCAACCAGCTGTAGAGCTGGCATGCCTTGCTTCTTGAGTCATTTATATCTGAAACCATATCTTTTCCATGCTATTCCCCTATAACAATGGCAACGTTTTGACCTTGGTTGAACTCGATGCTCTTAAAGGGTCTTTTCTAAACTAAATGATTCTATGATTCTATGACTTTTAGTCATAGACAAAGTGCCCAGCACTACTCCTATTGGGCTCCATTTTAGCTGCTCCTCCTTCCCACAAAGCCAAGGCAAGGCAGTTTGGTTTCCAGCCCTGTGGCACCAAAGGCTGGAAAGTTACAGGAGCTGTAACTTTCTCAGTGGAGCAGACACTGCTCTGCCTTTATATGCTGTGCAAACACGTGTTGGTCCAGAGAGCAAACCCCATGAAAATGTCTGCTGAGGCAGCTGGTGAGGCCACCCAGCCAGGAGGGCCTTGGTGAAGGCTGAGCCAGCCACATGAAGCAGAGCAGCACAGGAAGAGCAGTTGGAAAGCGCTGTGGCTTCATTCAGGCCATGCTGGGCATTGGGGGTTCATGGGGTTGCAGCCTCACAAACATATGGCACCCCAGACTTCCACCACCAGAAGTTGGCTATATTAGTCCACTGCTTCGAAGTGTCTTTCACTTTTTTTGATCAGCCTGCCTCAGGAAGAGTGTCTCAGTTATTGCTACCATATTAGCATCTCCTTCCCCGTCATACTTTTCCTGTATAAGCACTAATTATCTAACATGATGAGAGTGAGTGTGTGGTGGGGTGACCCTGGCTGGATGTCAGGTGCCCACCAAAAACCACTCTATCGCTCGTCTCCTCAGCTGGACAGGGGAGAGAAAATATAACAAAAGGTTCATGGGTCAAGGTAAGGGCAGGGAGAGTTTACTCACCAATTACTGTCATGAGTAAACAAACTTGACTTGGGAAAATTAACTTAATTTATTGCATAACAAATCAGAGCAGGATAATGAGAAATAAAAACAAATCTTAAAACACTTCCTCCCACCCCTCTCTTCTTTACAAGCTTGCTTTACTTGGATTTTCTCTACCTCCTCGCCTGCTGCAGCACAGGGGCATGGGGAATGGGGATTGTGGTCAGTTTATCACGTATTATCTCTGTTGCTCCTTCCTCTTTAAGAGGAGGACTTCTCACATTCTTCCCCTGCTCCAGCCTGGGGTCTCTCCCCT